TTGTTTTTTAAATAAATTTATTTAAAATAAAATTTTATATTATACTAGTAAAAAAAATTCAAGCCAAATTGTGTAACAAATTATATAACTAATATATTATAAAATTAATACTAAGTTTAAATAAACTTTGTAAGAATATAATTTTGTTAATAGTGTTAGAGGAATTTTGGGTTCACAAAATACAGGATCAAGAAAAATATGACAGATTATCATTTAAAAATATTAAATATCATAAAATATTACATCATAAAAGAGACAAAACAATTTAACAAGACTAAGATGTAAGTATAAGGTCTTAGTTTATTATGAAAACTGTTTTTATTACTAATATAACTATTACTAATAATGACTATTCTATTTGCTTCCTTTTCTTTAATTTTTAAAAAAAAGATACACTTATATACAAGAATGGCATCCTATAAAAAAAGATAGCATAGAGGCCCAAAATCAAATATTTTCCTATTGAACTCAATAGTTTCAGATTTATTATTATGATTGAGACTTTGAATGGCCTTATGCAACACAAACAACTAATTCAATTTAGCAGATCTATTCTAACAAATGGGTAGCTTAACTTTCAAGTTTCTCAAAATGCAATTAGTGTTTAAAATTGGCATGCACAAGATGCATATATGCATAAATTTTTTTAGATTTTTTTTAATTTTTTTAAAAATTTATTAAGTGTACATGTAAAATTTTTAAAAAAAGAGGCACAAAATGCATTTGTATATGTAATTTTTTTTTGAATTTTAAATACTAAGTGTAATTGATGCACAATAGTTGACTTGTTTTAGAGTTGTTCTTGCTATAAGAGGCATGAATTAGGATAATACTGGGTTAGAGCAACTCTGATACCCATTTTGCTTTTAACAATAAGTTATAAAATAAATAAGTTAATTAGCAAAAAAATATCTAAAACTTTATAATTAAATAATATATTTTAAAATAAATAACAATTTAATGAATATATAAAAAAAAAATCCAAATATGTATTTAATTAAATACTATTTAGAAATATAAGATTCAATGCTACTTATTTGGTAAAATATAAGAATTAGAAAGTTTAAATAGATAATCTTTTAGTAATTGCAAATATAATAACTATAAAACCTTTAACCAAACTACTTAAATAAGCAATCAAAAATTATATATATAATTAGTTGTATATTATACAAGTTATATATAATATATAATTAATAACATAATAAAAATAATGGTTGTTATAAACATTAATTTAATAATAAAAAAATAAAAAATAAAAAAACAATATTGGTTTTAAATAAATAACTTAAAAAAAATTTATTTGTAATATTTGTTATATATAACATTCTTGTAATTAGTTAATAGAATTTAAAGTTAGAGTTTGAATATACTTGCTAACCAAATTTAAAATCACTATAGTTTGAGTTTGTCTACACCCAAATTCCAAATTAATATCTTAAAATTTTATTATTAATTTTTATTGAAATAAACATTATATATTCTTATAATTATGTATAATATATTTGCAAAACTTAAAGATTATTTTTTTGATTCAATTTTTTTATAAATGCTATTTATTTTTTAAGGTTTGGAATTTGTCCAGCATATATAGGTTTGGGTTATCTAAATTTTTATTTGTTTTTATTGGTTATACAATAAATTATTTAAATTTTAAACCTTAATAAGCTTTGAGCACTTAGATATTTAAACAAAAATGTACATCCCTAACTAGAGGCCTGCGAATTGCCTATTTTTGAGGCCCGGCCCGGCCCGCATTTAGGGTTAAAATTTTTTTGCCAGCCCAGCCTGGCCTGCATATATTAAATTTTTTCTTCAGTCCGGCCCGGCCCGCAAAATTTTTTAGATAATTTTACAAAATTTCAGGCCCGACCTGGCCCGCAATTATAAAATTTTGCTTCAGGCCCGACCTGGCCCGCAATTATAAAATTTTGCTTCAGGCCCGGCTGCGGGACCCAATGCAGGCCTCTATCCCTGACTATAGAATTGCCTTCCGAAACTTTATCACAATCTTTGTCCCAATCTTCTAAATTGTTACCCAGATTATGCTGTATAGGGGCCTGCAAATTACCTATTTTTGTGGCCCGGCCCGGCCCGTACTTAGGTTTAAAATTTTTTTGCCGACCCGGCACGCATATAGATAAATTTTTTCTTTAGCGCAAAATTTATTATTATAGCTGTTCTCATAAATTCTGGGACAATTGATAAAATTGATATGCCGAATTCGATAAGTTTTTGAATTCGGTGCTATCGAATTACTGTAATAACGAAAATCCAATTGTCCCAGAATTTATGAGAACAGCTGTAATAAAGATTGATCGGCCGAATTCGATAAGTTTTTGAATTCGGTTCCGATAACACTGAATCCAAAAACTTATCGAATTCGGCAGATCAAATTTTTATCAGTTGTCCCAGAATTTATGAGAACAGCTGTAAATTTTGAAAATTTTTAGGCTCGCAAAAATTTGCGGGCCGGGCCGGGCTGCGGGACCCAATGCAGGCCTCTATAAATGGCTATAGTATTGGGTAGTAGTGATGTTACCCAAACCCAGTGATTTGGAACATTTACAATGTCTGTTATTGTTAGTAACTTACGTGTTATTATATGAACTGGAATTAAGGATAAATTCTAACCCCGATCCCAAATTAAGTAAAATGCCGGTAACATCAATAACGCCAAGATAACAATACCGATACCCATATCTAATATAAAGTATGGAATGTTAATCAAACATAGATAATTCCGATATGGTTACACGGTTGGTAAATTTTTTATGTTTTACAAGAGTACTTTTTAAACCAACCATAATAAAATAGAAGGTTTCATTAGAGCTGTAGGACTTCATAGTTAACAATAAGATCTAATTCTCGTCCGTTTAAAAAAATTAGATGATTTTATCGGGTTTTGAGAAGTTATTACTATACTAACTTTTTTAAACGGACGAGAATTAGATCTTATTTTTGGCTGGAGTCCTACAGCTCTATACAGCTTTTTTTTCATTATGATTAGTTTTCGTTTTTTTAAAAAGTACTCTAAACTGTAAAATTAATTGAATTCATTAGCCAATCAAACAAACTTCTGCCTATGAAGCTCGAGTAGCTTAACTTTCTATGAACCGAGAGTAAATTTAATTAATGTTTTCACTTCGCTTATCACATATTCTTTGAATCCCACAACTTTCTTTTTGCAACCTGATTGGCCTATTTGTTAAAATTCAAGATATGATTGGTTGACGATCACATGCGATTATGTTGGGCTGAATTAAAATTACTTAAAATTTTACTAAGTTAATCTATTTTAACTTTCTAAATAAAAATATTCAGCACTATAAATAATATATATTTTAAATTAATAGATTAATTTTTGAAGCTTGTATATGCTGTGGACATGTGGACGTTTGGACATTGGACATAGTAGACGTGACAACACTGGTTTCGGGTACCCGGTTGGAAAAGATGTTTGACCCGACGGATCACGGATAAAGATTTTCAAACCGGGTTGAAACCCTAGCGCTAATAACAAAGGCTATTATTATATAGTTATGCGTGTTTTAAATGGTTGAATCAGTAAATATATAAATTTGAGAAATAGGAAAAAAACTCTTTTTAGAATGACAGCTTATCAAGGCCTATCGTACTATTGAATAAATTTTTTGAGATGAAGTATATATAAATGTTGTGTAAACGTGAACGAAGGAGAGTCATAGAAAGAATTTCATATGATTGGCTGTTTAAATCAATTTAATTTTACATTATTTATACAGTTTAAGGTACTTAAAAATAAAACTACAATGGATAAATAAGACAATTTTATTAGGTTATAGGACTCCACTATTAAAAATAATCAAAATACTTTTTAGAGAAGCTAACATGATTATAACCTATTTTCAGATGTCGTCATTATGCTAACTTCAATAAAACAAAAAGGGATTTTGATTATTTTTAAGTGTGAAGTCCTACGACTCTAATAAAACCTTCTACATACTTTGTTCTTATTTATCCTTTGTAGGCTTACTTTTTTAAAAAAATACTTTAAAATATATAAATAATGTAAAATTGAATTGATTTAAACAACCAATCATATGGAAGTCTTTCTATAAGAAGAGGAATACATAGATTCATATTAGCCTAGTACCGTACAGCGCTGCATATAGTATCCCGGGTATTTTTCAAGAAAGCTGGCCTAGATTGAATAATGCCCCCCCAAATATTGGAAGATTGGAGGATAATACAAATAATTGTTACTGATCAATATATACCTTGCTATTAGACATATCAAACCCTATGAAAAGATCGCACTATAATTAAGAAAATTAGATCACAAATCGCTTGTCAAAAAAAGGGGGGATACTACTCCAGGGGAGTACTGTATGCAGCGCTGTACGGTAAAGTGCTCAGAATCTGATAAGATTAAAAGTTGAATACGTATAACGATAAACAATAATTATCATTTCTGGGATGAAAAGTTTTAAAAGGAAATTATAATCTAAAAAGCGTGACTTCCAAATAAGGTAGTGCCAAATTATTCATTTGTCGTTACGTATGAAATTTACAACTAAATAAATAAATAAAAAATAATAAAATATTGTTATTATCTAAATTCAATTCTTTTTATGCGGAAACACACTTGATTTTGTCAGAATAAAACCCGAAACATCTTATTCTACGGGCAGAATACTCAATCAAAATTTTTATTTCTATAGTCACACATTGAGAATCATCATATGAATGTTATTTATAATGCAAGCATTTTTAGATAGAAAAGTAAATCCAATTTTAGTAAAACATACATTATTCTTATATACATTTTGTTTCAGAACAAATGAGATGTCGTTGAGAAATCAGATAGCATTTTCTTTGCGAATGGATTAATTATAAAAAAGCTGTGTTTTCGAATTTTGTTTCTCATGCATCCTCCTTCCACGCAGACATTTCACGACACGTTTTTTTACGTTTACACTTTTTTTTGCGGTTTTACCTTACGATTCAAATATTAAAATATGGTTTATCTATTTGACATCCCTGCTTTTTTTATTATTTTGCGTGAAACGCTCGAAGTTTCGATCGTTCTTGCTGTACTCCTAGGCGTTATTGACAGTCTTTTCCCTGATGATAAAGATAACGCCTTGCGAAAGCAGTTTAAAAAACAACTATGGATTGGGACATTTTTAGGATTAATTGTGTCACTGATCCTTGGTAGTGTTTTTATTGCTGTTTTCTACACCGCTGCCAAAAATTTATGGGAAGAAAGTGAACCTGCGTGGGGTGAGTTCATCACAAATACCACAATTGCTTTGATTTCATACGTATTTATCTAATCACATGCCTTTTAATTTTAATATAGAGGGCTCCTTTGCTCTTATTGCCACTATCGTTATAACTATAATGTCGTTAGGTATGATTCGTTTTCAGCAATGGAGAAAAAAATGGGAAACCAAACTCCAAGGTAAAACCGAATTATATCTCGAACGACATAATAAAGGAAACAAATGGGCGCTAATATTACTGCCCTTTACCGTCATTTGCCGCGAAGCATTGGAAGCAATTGTATTTATTGCTGGGGTATTTATTATATCTATTATATTTTTTGGTACGATTAGCGTTAGCATTTGTTTATACTTTTATCATTTCATAGGTTGGTTACAATAAAGATCCCTCCGGCCTTCCTATCCCTATTATTACGGGTCTTATTACCGGCTTCTTCATAGGATGGCTCATATATAGAGGCTCTCACACTGTTTCGCTTAAAATATTTTTCATCGCCACAACTACCTTATTATTATTCATTGCTGCTGGTCTTTTCTCTAGAGCCGTTTATGAATTTCACGAAATCTCTGGTGCCCAAAAGATCGTTGTTTGGGAATTAAATTGTTGTGATCCGGAAGCAGAAAATGAACATTTTTGGTCTATCATGGGTTCAATATTTAGTTGGAGAAATGTGGCTACTGTTGATTCAACAGTTAGCTATTTCGCTTATTGGCTTGTAATAATTATTGTGTCTGTGATAATCATAATACGCGGAAAGAAAGCCGATAACGATGCCATTGACACCATAGAACACAATGATTCTAGCGAAAAAGGCGAAAAAGACGAAAAAGACGTAGCAAATATCGAACTCGTTTAGTACCTTAATTACCAAACTTCCTTCTTTATATAGAAATGCATTACATATATATTTAATCATAATTTTTAAGTAAATAAAAACCATTAATTCTTATTAATTTATATTTATCGTTTTTTAACAAAAAAGAAAAAAAAAATTCAAAAAAAAATCAGATCAAAAATCAAAAAAGAAAAGTACATTTATATTATTATATTTATTATTGTTGGTAAACTTATTAAATTCCATATTTGTCACAAGCTAGCAGATACGTATCACTTCACAGCAAATCGGTTCACATAAACAAGTTTATTTTATAAGTAGCTGTGCAAGACAGTTGCACAAAACCAGAAACACCATTTCAGTCACGCAATCCATTCCTGGTATAAGAAAATGACTCTTTATAAAAGAAGTGCAATCTGAATATTGGTTTGAATTTCAGTGACTGAGCCTAAAAACCCATTGATGAAGTCAATGTCTGACTGCTATATAGTTGGTTAACTAGCGTCACTCGGTTCCAATGAATCCGACCCAAAATTCTGGGGCCCTGCAAAAAACATTAAATTTACGAAACATAATTTAGCGCCCACTACGTATTTAGAATGACCGACAAATTCTTTCAATTAAGTCTTTGACGATCAGTTATTATCATTTTATCAGCCCGATAAAAACTTTGATGAAAAAAAAATAAAAATTATCAAATATTTAGCATTGAGGTCTTTAAAATATATTGGGTCACTAATTTTTGTGCCTAAAATTATTATATTTATTATTGTTAGTTATTGCATCTTAATTTTTGATTAAACTATAAATAATTTTTGGTTTTTAAATTAATTACTTTATTTTTTTTTAGGATTAAAGTAAAATCTAATTTTAAATCTTTATTTGTTTATTTTATTTTATTTATTTATTTTTTTTTAACTTTGACAACGTTGTCAGTTGGTTTATTAGATTCTAAATTTTTGTAATACAATTTGTAGTTATGTACATCAATTACTATTTTAACTTTTACTTAACTGACTTTACATGGTTACTTATATAATGCTTAAGTTCATGTTTGTCACATGTTTGTATGCAGTTATCATAGTAATTACTTATGGTTAAAGTGTACTATTAAATAATACACTTTTAAATTTAATATAGTATTTTCTAACTGCAAGTATTAGTTCTGTTATAGTAATATTAGGTTAGTCATAAAAATAAGTATAGAAAGTTTTAGAAGGTTTACCTTAAGGATAAAATAGTCTTAAGATTGATATAACAACTTGAGCATAACTTAGTAATATTAATATAGATTGCAAATTCAAAGGGTTTAAAATAAAACATCTAAGCAGTGATGTTAAATATAACAATTGGTAGGAAACTCTTGAGCAAATTCTTTAAATAGATAACATTAAAAAAATATATATATAACTAATTATATACTTTTCTTATAATGATTCACAAAATTATATTATCAAAAAAGTTATTAATAAAAGTCAAAAAACTAAAAAGATCTTCTTAATATCAAAAAAAAATAAAAACCAAATATAGAAACTTTTTATTCTTATGAATAACTAGAATTTCTGAAAAAAAATTTCAAAATTAGAGAAAAAGACAATAATATTATATAAATTTTTTAATATTACAATTATTCAACAATTATGATATTTAAAATTTTATATAAATACTTTCAAATTATATTAATTTTCCTAAAAATAAAATTTTTAAAATTATAATCAAAAATAGTAATTGCTTTAAATAATTTTTGTTAAATCTAGAAACAAAATTCTATACTACAAAATTATTTAAATATATTATTGTAAAATATTCTTTTTTAAAATAATAAAGAATTAGAAAAAGTTATCAATTTAAACTCTATAATAAAAAACCTAATAGAATTTAATATCAATAAATTGTTTTAATTAGAAGAAATATATCTATTTTAACTGAAGTCTTATTTAACAAAATAATAATAAAGTTAAAAAAATAATAAAATCAATTATTTAATTCAAATAATAAATAATTTAAAACAGACATTTAACTCCCAAGTAACAGGTCTGGTATTCAAATCTCATGAACAGCAAAATTTGAATAATTATACCTGTATTATGATAACTGTATCTTGTCGATCAGTTGGACAAAAGAAGATAATCTGTAATCTTAGATATATTATCTCGAATGAAAGCTTGGAGCATCTATATAAAGTATAATATTACACATATATAGAGAAATATTAATAACTAATGTTGTATAAAACTTCAGTGCAAACCTATGATAAGACTACTATGTGCATAACTCTAAGAAATCAGAATACAGAAATCCACTTGGAAATTCTGAGTAAAGAGATAGCATAAATTTTTGACAGTACTACTGGACTATCAGAAGCCTTAGAAGAAATAACTAGAATAGAACAAATAACAATATATGTAGAGGAGCATATATCAACCAGACTGCCAAAAATTACCATAGGAAAAGAATCTTAGAATACTATATTAGGCCATTTGGATTAGTAGTCTAAGAAATCTTGTAAGTTCAAAGTAAGGAGAAGATGTTAGAAAAAGAAGTTATCAGAGTTCTAGTAAACTTTACAAGAGTATAGCGGTTTAATGATTAGCCTTGACTGCAAGTAATAGCCTAGGCCAGAGCAGTACTAGGTCAGCTGTAAGTATGGGATACAAAAAGCTCTAGTGGACTTAGTATAAAGTTAAATATGACTTAGTAACTATAGTATATTTTAGTAACCCTGCAGTTGATAGAGTAAAAGTAAATACAGAAACTAAAATGTTTAAATAGAAAACCCATAAACAGGTTTTAGATATAGCAACTAGTATAGAATCTTTGAGCAGACTACTTAAAATAAACAATAACTAAAGTTGTATAAGTGCCTAATTGTACACTCTTTTTATAATTGTCTCTGTAGTTATTGTACATAATAATTATATGCTGACTGATTATTAATAAACTCTTGGGTTATAATTACTTACCTTAACATTAAAAAAAAACAAAAAAAAACAGACATTTGTATTAACAACTTAAAGTATAATTAATTTTTTTCTAAAAAAACATGAAAAGAACAAGTTAATTGAATTTTAAGTTCTTATCTATTCTTGGATATACTTAATATAATTTAAACAAGAAAATCAAAGCCTATTACTATTTAGAACTAATTTTTTTTTTAACTTTGGCGACAATGCCAGTTGGTTTTTATTAGCCTTAATTTGATATAGTACAAATTTATGGTTACATTTTTTAGGATCGATTATTACTAGTACTATATACTATCTAATTT